CCCCAAAACCCCAAAACCCCAAAACCCCAAAACCCCAAAACCCCGTTTAGATTAAAAATAATTGAAGGAAAAATGAGTGGTGGTAGTAAGGATTATAGGCTTGAGAAGTGGTGTTAGACGAAGTTTTAGAGGAATTTTGGGTGGTGGTTTATTAGGTTTGGAAGAATATAGGTAATGGAAATAACTTACATTCAGCTGTGGATATAGAGACAGAATTAAGGTATTTGATGCAGTTTTTATTTTTAGGTTAGTTTTTAAGCTAAATTGGTTATTCTTTCAAGGGATTTTTAATATTTTATGTAGTAATAATGGGATGGATACTCCGCAAAGTCTTAAATTAGAAAAACCAAGAGCTAAGCCTGTGTTGGAAATGATGAAAAAGTTGTATATCCCTGAATTCACAGCTCCAAGTGACTCTTCTAAAGGATCAATAACTTATCAAAAGAATAAAACTGTCAAGATGTAAGTTTAGTTAAAAAAAATTATAGCAAGAAAAATCTAAATTTGAATCGTGAGATTATGATTCGAGGTATGGTCATTCAACTATTTAATAATCTTACAGCCATTCCTAGATTATATGTTGGGTTCTCAAAGATATTATTAAAGAACTAATTTACTCTGGTTTTAAAAGTTAACTTTGGAGAACTGCATATTTTCCTCTCTTAATAATCTCATATCTAGAGATGTTTAAAAACCAGATTAAAAGACAAAAGGCTGCTGAAGAAGTTGATCAAGCCTTGAAAGCTGGTCTGGGTATTTTAAGAGAACAGAGACTTGAATCGCATGAAGAACTTAATAGGACAGGAAATATTCCAAGCTATCACAGAAAGAAACTTATGAGAAACACCATCTATAATCCGAATCTGGATCGCCATAGTTTGTGAGGATCTTCTAGGACCAACCCTAAACGATTTTCAGGAGTTACTGGGATTAATACTTATCTATATGAAGTTAATGCTAATCCCATGAAAGAATTACTAAAATCTTCAGTTCATAAGCGGAGGAAGAAGCTCTTCAGTACTATAAACAGCTGCTTCAGGTCAACTGCTAGAAGCAAGATTGAGCAAAAGCGTAGGTATAAAAGTAAAAATTTACCTCAGAAAAAGTTTAATTATTCTTCCAAGATATCATCTGATAATTCTCAAAATATGTCTAACTATAACTAACTTGCCAGAGGAAATTAGTTCTAAGGCTACAACAAATGCTGACCTAGCATTTAAAAAGAAGTTTTCCTTGAAGAATGCCACAGACTTGAGGGATTTACCTCCTAATATGAGGAAATAATGTGGCTAATCGGATAAAAACTGTTCTGAATAATCGTGCATCTAGAAAAAGGAGCAAACCACCTTATAATAATTTTGCTAAAGCTAATAGAGATTCCATAGCCTTTAGAATAATGTCTAGGCTCCGAGAATGGCCAATGAAAGAACAACAGACGACTAAGAACATTACGAAATTTTATTGGACAAAGGATTTCTCTCAATGTGCGTTTGCTAAGGACGAAGAAGCGATTGATGGCTTCTTGAGAAAGTCTAAAGAGTAATTTCAATAATTTAACAATGAATTGGGGTTTTGGGGTTTTGGGGTTTTGGGGTTTTGGGGTTTTGGGG